CTCCCTACACACCAGCTCTCAGTGGGGAGGAGAGCAGAGTGATGAAGCCAGTTCAGAGAGGGGGATTATTAGGTAAATAACATGACTGGTAAAGGCCAGGGGGAACATCCCTACTCTTCTCAAGAAACACCCTGGGATTGTTAATGACCACAGAGAGTCAGGACCTCGGTTTTGCACCGTCCTTCGGATGCACATCTTTTTACAGTATAGTGTCCCTGTCACTATACTGGGGCATTAGGACCCACACAGACTGCAGGGTGAGCGCCCCCTGCTGGCCCCACTGACACTTCTTCCAGCAGCAGCCTCAGCTTTCCCAGGAGGTCTCCCATCCAGGTACTGACCAGGCTCACACTGCTGAGCTGCAGTGGGCTGCAAGCTGTGGGCTGCAGAGTGATAGGCTGCTGCTTTAAATCCTCACACTTTATTTTCTTCTGCCCCGTCTTTTTCATTAACTTATCCCGTCTGCCTCGCCGATCTGCCCCCTGAGAGGAACTCGAGCCAGACTAAATCAGATTTTATCTTGCCTGCAGATGAACGTCGTTTTATAATAAACACGTGCGTGTTTAATTATTATCTGATCTGCACAACCACTCCAGTACATCCTCAGCTAAACAGATCAATGTGGCGATGAGCCGGTGTGAGCGAGGCGGGAGTCAGGTCTTACTATTTCTCCACCCAGGGGACGGGTTTCTGTCTCTTCTCCCCGCTCGGCCCGGCGGTGGGTTTGCTTTTTTGCGGTTTGGGACCGAGGCTGGGGGTCCCTTTCAGAAACGCCTGCATGCTTCGCCCTGCAGGAGCGACACAGAAGGACGCTGAGGCGCAGGACGATGGAGAACCGGTACGTGTCCGACCCCACCCCCCTCAATCTCAGCCTTTCATCTGTCGACTTCTTGAACAGAAAACCACCAAACACGGCGAAAAACACAAGAACACACTCGCACATCACCATACAGTTCATGCACCCAGATAAAAGATTAGAATCTGCCTCAATAAGTCAACAATGGAACAGCCACCGGGCTTACAGAACAGTCTCATTAATAACCTTACCATTCAGCCATTCTTCACTATCAGGTACCTAACCTCTACCACCTTACCTAAACGTGGAAATATTCAGTATCTTCTTTAATAGCAAACTGCTGCACACCCCCACTGACAGCAGCTGCAATCCTCCCCGTGCACACAAATTCCCGCCGCCAGAGCCGAGCAACCTCCTGCCGGGACCACGACAACACTTCCGCTTCCGGCAGTCTGTGGCTCTGCCGGAGACAGACTTCCGGTGGGGGCAGCGCAGGGATTTATAACTACAGTATATTTATTCGTCTAAAACGACTTTATTGTCTCTCTATGGTCATGGTGGACACATCGTATTATGTAGTTTTCCGTGTTCATCGGAGCACAAGAAAATTGTCTAAAACTAACGTAGAGTACAAAACGCGGCGTGTTTGGTTTAGATTTTTTACTGTGTTGGTTTTCACAGAAATGACAGAAGTATCACCCTTAAATGACACATATAATGTGTATTGTATTACTTACATTATGTATTATGTATTTATAGTCAGGTGACTATTTTGGTTGAGGTCGTTTTAAAATGTAAAGAAGCGGTCGGATCTAAACCAAGATGTAATAAAAATTGCTTACACTAAGTTATGGACACTCCACTCAACGTGCTTTACAGTTGATGGGGATCCCACCACCTGACAGCACCAGTCCGCTCCCCACACATCAGCTTTCAGTTGGGAGGAGAACAGAGGGATGAAGCCAGTTCAGAGATGGGGATAATTAGGAGACCATGATTGGTAAAGACAAGGGGGAAATGTGGCCAGATAACACCCCTACTCTTTTTGACGAACACCCTGCGATTTTTGTTGACCACAGGGAGTCAGGACATCGGTTTCAAGGACCTCAGTTTCAAGTCTCATCTGAAGGCCAGCCTTTTTACAGTATAGTGTAACTAATACAGCGCTGCGCATAAGAGGGATCTTGGCCGCCCGGTCTGATGAAGGTCTTCTTTAGCTTAGCCAGCAAGACTCCTGTTGAGCAATGCCGGAGACCCGGGCACAAGCCCAGGAAACCAAATTCGCTACAGTATTCCCCTTGTCATTATACTGGGGCATTTGGACCCACACAGACTGCAGGGTGAGCTCCCCTTGCTGGCCCCACTAACACCTCTTACAGCAGCAACCTTAGTTTTTCCCCAGCTGTCTCCCATCCAGGTAGTGGCCAGGCTCCCACCTGCTAAGCTGCAGTAGGCTGCCAGTTGTGTTGCACAGTGACAAGTCTGCTGGCAGGATATATCTTTTGATTAGTAAAACTTATAACCAGTGTGCTGTCAAAGTAAAATAAAATAAAATGTATAAACACCTCAATTCTTCTGTTTCAAGCAGTGTTATTCCTAAATTGAGCAAAACCTATCTTAACAAAGTTAGTTGGATCTGTGTCACAGTAGGTTATAGCCAAAACACAACACAACATAAGACTGCTCTCTCCTTGATAATTGTAAGTCCCCAGTGGAAACAAGACTAGATCTACCACCTTCTAGAGATTTGGTAAGAGATAACATGAAATGTGACATTAATTTGGATATTTGCTCCTGTAGGTTTATGGCCTTCAACCTAACAAGATAGAGGTATAACCTCTGAGAAGGAGCCCAGCTGTTTGAGATCTTGAGACCTGAAGAACTAGGAAACAAAATGAGAGCTCGCTGTAAGAGCAGATGAGAGCGACTGTTTTGTCCATGAAGCCCATGTGGTTCCTTGTAGCTAATTAGTCTAAGGATTTTGTACAGAAGTTTCTTTAAATAAATCAGGTATCAGCTTCAACAAACTGGCTGGCTGGATTTTTTCAGACACCCACAACTCTTTGTGCAAATTTAGTTTTATTCAGTTTTAAGAGTGTTTATCCTTCGTTTCCATATATGCCCTGTGGTTTGTATTTCACTGTTGATTCTGAAGATGGTTACTGATTTGATTTTGTTGGCGCCTTTGAGGCTTTTGAGTACTATGATCAGTATCTAGTCTTCTCAGAGCTAGAAAGATTCCGGCCTTTCAGCGTGTCGGCGTGTCAATATACAGTATCTGGTTTATCTTCTCTGGATTGATTCCAGCACAACAACATCTGTTTTACAACACGGTGATCA